AAAAGGGCTTTTGTTTCATTTCCATTTCATATGGAAATAGAAATTTACTTTTTGCCGACAGCAATTTTCTTCATGGTTGTTTTTTTAGCAGCGACAGTTGTAGTTGCTTTTTTAGGTTTTGCAGTTGTTGTTGTTTTCGCTTTTGGTGCCTTCGGTTTGGTTGCGGTCGCTTTAACAGCAGCTTTGGTCGGTTTGGCTTTCACTGTGCCTACCTTCTTAATATTTTTCACATTCGCTTTTTCGGTTTTCTTCTTTTCGGAAGCCTTCTTCGTAGCAGCAGCAACAGCAGCAGCTGTCACTTTCTTACCAACAGCCACGGAAGCACCACTTTTTTTCTCACTTACTGCAGCACTAGCACTCTTTTTTGTAGCAGTTATGGATTTCTTTTTCTTTTTATCAACAGCTGAAACAGTCTTTTCTTTAGCTTTCTTTTCACTACCACTAGCAGTCGCTTTTCCTTTAGGATCTTTAGTTGCTGCAGCTGATAATTTAAATGAACCGGACGCACCTTTACCTTTTGTTTGAATCAATTTTCCACTTGCAACTGAACTTTTTAAATATTTCTTAATGAAAGGAGCCAATTTCTGTGAATCGCATTTATAAGTTCCGTTAATATATTTTTTAATAGCCAATAGAGATGAGCCGCCACGTTCTTTTAAATTTTTAATGGCAGCATCAACCATTTGCTGTGTTGGTGGATGAGAGGGTGCGGTCGATGATTTTTTAGCTTTTTTAACAGCAACACCAGAACTTTTCTTTATCTTTTTTTCCGACGGCGATGTAATAGTAGCCGCGGCAGCGGCGACAACCGGAGATGCGCTAGTTTCAACAGCACCAGCATCAGACATTTTGTTTTTCACTTTTCGTTTTCTTTCTTTTTTTCTTTTAGAAAATTACACTTCACAATGCACGTATATATGTATAGAAATTTGGTGTACAAACATGTGTGAAATAACGTAGCTTGTGGCCTTACCTCAGCAATTTGAGAATCCTATAGAAGTCATCATAAATAAAAACGCAAAAGCGTAGAAGAATTTAGTGCAAATTTGTGGGTAAGTTTTCATATATTTTTAATTATTTTAAATAAACGAAAAGAGATTTTCAAAAAATTCATTTTACACGTTATTGCTTAGATACTTTAGCATATAAATTTACAATATATTATAATATTTCATAATTGCATTAGTTTTTATTCTCATTTTTCTATCAATATTATTACGGAGTTTTAAGAAAAATTTCCTAAAATCGTTAAAATTTCTATTTATTTTCAAAAATCATCTATCGAGTCATTGTAATTCTTAAACTTTTGCATGTCTATTTCTATTATAAGCAAACATTTTTACACTAATCGCTTATTTCGATTTTTTACAAATATTTGAAAATTTTTCGCTGCCACAGTGAGTTTTCTCACATAACGCGAACATTCACTAATCAATTATTTCATATAATTTTCATATTCAAATAAAACATATATACAATTATTATTGTTTATTATTTAAAAATTGTTAATTATTGCTATTAAATGAATAAAATAAGATTTATAATATTATATAACATTATATATATATATATATCTATACGTAAGTTAATATATACTTCGGTAAACTCATATGTATACAGTATACATGCCAAGTGTGTGTACGTGTGTATATATCGAAAGATCTTTTCCCTTAAATTTACCGGCTACGTTTATTTAATAGTTAAAATGAAAAAAAATAGTCTTAGAACAACACACACACACACACACAAACAGCATACGTGTGTAACAGGTAAGGCTTATAAAAAGAGAAAATAAAAAATTGTTTTCTCGCTTCTTTAAATTTATTTAATTAAAAAAAATGTATAAAGTAAGTTCAGACAAATATTTTATATCTTTTTTTATTAAGAATATTGTGGTCCTGAAAAGGACCGATTGTTTCATAAAATGCATTCAATGTTGCCTAACTTGCGTAAATCGTAATTTAAGCACGTTCTCCACGAATACGTCGAGCCAATTGGATGTCTTTAGGCATAATTGTAACTCGTTTAGCATGAATAGCGCACAAATTTGTGTCTTCAAACAAGCCGACTAAGTACGCTTCACTAGCTTCCTGCAACGCCATAACAGCAGAGCTTTGGAAACGCAAATCTGTTTTAAAATCTTGAGCGATTTCGCGCACCAAACGTTGAAATGGCAATTTGCGTATTAATAATTCGGTACTTTTTTGATAGCGACGAATTTCACGCAAAGCAACTGTACCAGGACGATAACGATGAGGCTTCTTAACACCACCAGTAGCTGGAGCGCTTTTCCGAGCAGCTTTTGTAGCCAGTTGTTTACGTGGTGCCTTACCGCCAGTCGATTTACGAGCAGTTTGCTTTGTACGAGCCATTTTTTTTTATTTTCTTCTTCTTCCTTCACAGCTGGAACCAATTCAATTTTCACAAACAAGATATTTAGAGCACTGAGCACTGAACACTAAACACTTAGCACTGATCACTTCACTATTACATTTTTGCGGGCTTATGCCTTGCTTATATAGAAAAATTTACAGCAAAGCCACTACTACTACTACAACTACTGCTGCTGTTATACATAATAAAAATAAATAACACATCGTGTCTTCGTGCGTCGTGTTTTAACGAACTGCTTCTATACAATGCATGGGTGCATGTGTGTATGCACAACGTTTGTTTTGTGTTGAGTTGCGTTGAAATTTGTATAAATACTGGCGTGTTTGAGGCGAACGGCATCAGTGTTTCTAACGTGTTTTGTGTGAATAAGTGCAAAGTGAAAAATAAGAAAAAATGACTGGACGTGGCAAAGGTGGTAAAGGCTTAGGAAAAGGTGGTGCTAAACGTCATCGTAAAGTGTTGCGTGATAATATTCAAGGTATAACAAAACCGGCTATCAGGCGTTTGGCTCGTCGTGGCGGTGTGAAACGTATCTCTGGCTTGATTTATGAAGAAACCCGTGGTGTATTGAAGGTTTTCTTAGAAAATGTTATTCGCGATGCTGTCACATATACTGAGCATGCTAAGCGAAAAACAGTTACAGCAATGGATGTCGTTTATGCTTTGAAGAGACAAGGCCGCACCTTATATGGTTTTGGCGGTTAAATTGCGAGAAATTGAAAAAATAAAAACAATCGGTCCTTTTCAGGGCCACGAATATAATAAAAAGGAGATATGTTTTTACACATATATTATGACATGAATTTATTTGTTTGAAAACAGTAAAAGGAAGATTACTAAATTTTTTTAATATTTTCGCTTTTAATAAAAAACAAAAGAAGGCAATTTTGCTATATTTTCTTTTAAAAGAGAAAAAGTTGATCTCGTGACGACCAAGCAAATATGGAGAATGAATGAATATTATCTGGATATATAAATTTTAAAAGTAAAATAAACATGTTCAGAACAATTTAATATCGTGGTTTTACATAGCAGCCATACAAAGTTTGAAAATAGATATAATAAAATACATCCAAGAATATATTTATGTATGAAATAAAAAACTATTCGTTTCAATAAAAAGACACATGTATATATATCTCATTTTTTAAAATATTTCGTCGTCCTGAAAAGGACGGATTGCTTTGTTTTATGATGTATGATGTATTATTTGTTTAGGCCTTCTTCTCAGTCTTCTTAGGCAAGAGCACTGCCTGAATATTTGGTAGCACGCCACCTTGAGCAATTGTTACACCGGATAGAAGTTTATTCAATTCTTCATCATTACGGATGGCCAGCTGCAAATGACGTGGAATAATTCTAGTCTTCTTATTATCACGAGCAGCATTTCCAGCTAATTCTAAAACTTCAGCTGCTAAATATTCCATAACTGCTGCCAAATAAACGGGAGCACCCGCACCAACTCGTTCAGCATAATTGCCTTTTCTCAATAAACGATGAATACGACCGACAGGGAATTGTAAACCAGCACGATTTGAGCGCGATTTTGATTTGCCTTTAGCTTTACCACCTTTACCACGACCAGACATGTTTATCTTGTTTTTTCTTCTCTCACTTTTCTTTTACTTCACAACACTTCACTGAGCACACACGCACGATTATTGAGAATTTTATCCAATAAACGCTGTATTTATACTTTTTCTCGAACGAAACACTCGCAAACATATGTGCTTCGTGTTTTATATTTCCGAATGTAGCCGATGTACGCTCTATAGCTGAAGTATTGGTTAATAAAAGAGCACTTAAGCGGCACATTTGTATGAAAATTTTACAGATTGTGTGTGAACAGTGCATATAGTGTTTGTGAAATCTAAAACAAAGTAAACAAAAAAGCAAAGTGAAGTGAAAATGCCGCCAAAAACCAGTGGTAAAGCAGCTAAAAAGGCGGGAAAAGCTCAGAAAAATATTACGAAAAATGATAAGCAGAAGAAGCGTAAGAGGAAGGAGAGCTACGCCATCTATATTTATAAAGTGCTGAAACAAGTTCATCCCGATACTGGCATTTCATCAAAGGCGATGAGTATAATGAATAGTTTTGTTAATGACATTTTTGAACGTATCGCTGCCGAAGCATCTCGTTTAGCTCATTATAATAAACGTTCAACTATTACAAGTCGGGAAATTCAAACTGCCGTTCGTCTTTTATTGCCAGGCGAATTGGCTAAACATGCTGTCAGTGAGGGAACAAAAGCAGTCACCAAATACACCAGCTCGAAATAAATAATTTAGGAGAAGAAAACAAAAATCGGCCCTTTTAAGGGCCACCTAATCAATTTTACTTAAAAGAGATAGAATGAATTGTTGGATGTTTTCTCGAAAGAAATCGAAATAGAAAGACAAAATCAATGAGGAAGAGGGAGACAGAAAATAAGAATAAATAAAGACTTGGTTTGTTGTGCATTGTTAGATTTCTTTTTTATGCCATTGTATATAATTTTTTCTTTAAATAAAATTGCGCCATTTTTCTCTCGCAAAAGAGAGCATATATATATATATATAAATGTAAATGCATGTAAATTCAATCTCTTTAAAAGAGAATTTGTAGCCCTAAAAAGGGCTTTTGTTTCATTTCCATTTCATATGGAAATAGAAATTTA